GTCAAGAATTGCATATGTTAATTAGTGCGCTATTTAGTTTTCTCATGACATTTATCTATTTGATGTAAAACGACAAAATAGAGGGGTTAAAAGTTAAACAAAGGCTTAACTAATCCTGGGATAAATATTATTGTTTAAAATACGCTGTTCATATTTTGTTTGCTCAAACTGGCTGCACGCATTTTTAGAAATTTAGAACGAAAACACCATACTGTGTATTATAATCTGTTTGACTTCAGGTCTGCAAATCAAGAGTAAATTTCCTAGAGTGGATGTGAAACCCGATTAATCAAATGCAATATTTTACCCAGAAAACATAATTGGTTTGTAGGATTCGCAGCAATTACTTGGATTTTTTCGTGGCCATAAGGTAAGCAGCATTATTAACCTTAAACTTTGATTGTTCAGAAAATATTTGCATTTATATGGGCGAAGTGGAACGTCTTTACAATAATCAAAATGTACCAAGTGTTTACTTTTCAAAATTGCTATCAGTTGTGGCCTTGGTAACATGCGGACGACATGGTTACACCTTAGATACAAGAGCATTAATTGCTGAGCAGTCATTCATGGTTTCCAATAATAATCAGCCACAAATTTTCCAATGATTACGGCTTAGACTAATCCTTCTTTAAATTAATATTCGTACCTTAAAACATCACTATGGAATCGTTTTATGATTGCTTTTATTTCACTATATATGTTGCACAATAACGCAACATGTTACAGTTAACGTACAAAGCTGTAAGGATATTTATTGACCTCAACACGCAATATTTATTTCATTTCGACCCTATATAATACGCCGACATGCAAAGTACCGCAGTTCAGAAATTATTAATCTACCCCACATAATAATCGTATAACCATGGTATGCGTATAAAGTTATACATTTAAGCTTTCCACGCAAGCACTCTTGAGAAATGGCTTATTGTTTCAAATGCATATGCAAACTAGTCGAAACATTTTTATGTGTACAGATCCAAAAACTGGAAACGGATTGAGGAAGAAAATCATGTTATATAATGGCACATTTGAGAAATATTTTTGCAAAATTTAGAGCAAGAGAAAAAAAGTCGTTTTAACATTTGAATGATTTCGTTTAATTTATCAAAAGATAGCTATGGTAATCATTTCAACATAATTGTTTCATGTGCGAGATTAAATTAGAGCTAAAGTTCCTTGTAATGTAGTTAAAAATGATGCCATAAACATATAAATAAACGTGGATAGCACACAATTATAAATTAAGACCTGCTTTTAAAAGTATTAACATGTTTTAAAAGCTGGTAGATGTGCAAAATTATAACATTTGCAAGACAACTTTGTTATTGGATTGGTACTCACAATATAAGAAAAGGCTCATTTATTCCTACAAAAAACTGAAAGGAATTATTCGTTTTAACTATTTGTAAAAACGATGTGTAAGGTGTTGCATTAACTAGTTCTAAAAGTAAGCCTAGTGTGCATAAGGTATTCTTTCATCCGTTCTACAGCGCAGTAGCAGAGATAATGCAGTTAGACTAATACAGCAATTTAAAAAGCACGGATAAAATTAAGAGGTTGTAGTTTTATGCATCGGATATTGTTTCCTTAGTACTGTTAACAAATCTGATAACATGGATACAGCTAACATTGGGTGTGGCCTGAAAAGCTTGGTATGCAGAGAAATTAAACAAATGCTTCTGCATAAATATGACAGCCTTTGGTTGAAACAAGATTGCCATTTAACGTACAGGCCTGGCTTAATACTGACGATCGTCACATCCTCAGCAAGCTGGAGTAAGTGGGGAGTAGTGTGACATAACAACACATTAAACCCTGAGCAAAATTATATCCAATATCCCTGGCTCGTTATAATATGCTTAGACAGGGTGCGGACATTCCACTAATTTACCTGAAATATTTATATTAATAATGTAAACAATTCAGCTTTTGTTGTGTTATATTTGTTCACAGAGCTAATGACGTACGACATCTAGGAAAATAGAAATTGATATACATCAATCCGTCTAGCATACAGCCGCCTTTGGTGTCGCATAAAAGATAAATATTGGTAGAAAAGGAGACCTTGCTGGGACGAGGGATGAGGTGGGCTCCAAGCAGTCAATAATTGTATCCAGCCAACCCCAACCGGGGAAGCAAGATGCTGCAACTAAGATCAAATTCCAACATGTCATCAATTACTCTTGACCATGCTGTTGATTGGGCTGCTTCTTCCAGACGATCAGACCTTACATGGCGTAGGATGCGGATTGCCGTCGTATGCAAAAGGTGGAATATTCATCGGAACTATGGTAGTGAAATAAAGACACTGAGCGGTAAATCCCTCATCCTGTGCCGTCCCATAGCCGCAGAAAGCCCTCGTAAATCACAAGTTGTTTTCATTAAGGATATGAACCAAACTCCGAATACATGATGCTCGCATTTCAATAGCTTCTTCCGTCAGCCCAACTAATAAGCGAGGTTACACAACCCAACAGTATAATTGTGCAATCTACCACTTTAAGGAAATAGTGATGTCTCGCCCGCGCCATAGATGGTGAGCGTTGACAACACAGCTTTGTGCTTTTGCTATACTTTCCAGAATAAATTCTCGATTTTACAAGAGCTATTACAATCACAGATGTAATCGCAGTAGATACTCTGTGTAAATGCCGGAGGAATGCATTGCTCGTTTAGGGGGCAAACAACTGAAATTGCTGACGGCAGTGTTACCCCGTATATTGCTGTTTGTCAATTTTTGTGCTAGCATAGATAAGCACAATTTCGTCAGCATCATCCAATTCAGTAAATTGCGTACGAAAAAGTTAATTGTGAAAGAAATGTGCGTCATTTTACGCGAAACGTATTTCACTACAATGCTTTAATAAAAATTAGGAGCTCTATCGATTCAGCTTATGAAATAACACCATCGTCATGCATTTATAATTATACACCGGGTGTGTACGCATCAATACCGAAAGTTTTCGTACGAGTTACAGAAAAATCAGGTTCGTTTGGTTTAAACATACTAAACACATCTAGGCGAGTAATCCCTGCTACACAAAGCAGTACTCCAAATATGCTCTTGTCTCACACGGAGCAGTCTAAGCCTATCAAGCTGAACACGAAGTGTATATAATATCCTGGGTAATTGCGGAGCCATTTACATGGCAGCATTTATTGAACACGGAATACAGAATGAAAAATTGTGTGCGCAAATAGTTGCAGTGTACAAGTACCTAGACCTCACATCCTATCTACATACAGTTTAGTGTAGATCGCCGGCGACCTCAGAAAGCAAAACCTCCTGACCTAGGTACATTGTATCTAGCTTGGCTTAGTGTTCAAAGTTTGGTTGCGTCACACTAACCTCCACTTAATCCAGCTTACTGTGAATGTGACGATAAACAGGATGAAACCGGTCCTGTGCGTTGAAAAACAATGTTTTTATCTGTCGACGTTCTTTTATATACAGATGAATTATTTTAACTCGTCTACATACCAAGCTTTCCTAACCGCAACCTATTGTAGCTAAATCCATGCTGACGGTTTCGGTTATTGGTAAAAAGAACTTAATATGCAGCACATAAACTTAGCATTTCCCATCATTTTCTTTCGTTTTCAAAACAGTAAGGGAAGTAACTGCATTTTCGCATTAGTCTTGCACTTTTCTTTCAGTCTTATTCTACACTTTACAGTTAAGTTTGTTACCATAATTCCCCATTCGCGTTTTGCACCATTACGTTTGTGGGAATGACACACGCGTTTATTTTTGCTTATAGACGAATGCCAGTAACATTTTGCAAATATTTTGTTTTGTGTTAAACAAATCATCGCCATTTCCGTCGGGCATAATGCGTTGTCTCCGACGAGGAGCAGAATTTAACGAAAATGAATGAGCGAATAAGGACTGTCAAAATTGTAGCATGAAATTTTGAGTAAACTTATGTGGCCTAGACAAATTGAGCGATTTGTTAACATTGCTTACTAAGCTACATTTTTATCATAGCAGGCTGATTAACCTACTCGCATTACATTATCTGGCACTTTGTGTCTCTAGGTCAAAAAACTTTATTGAGGTAAGTATTAACTTCAACATTCCTATTTTTTCGGACTAAAATAACAATATACATTAAGAGCAATGTTTAGCCTAAGCAATATTATGGTAGTATTCGCATTCACACTGCTTTATAAATAAAACCCTTAACTGCATGTGTTTTTGAGTACATGTTAACAAGCTTTAGAATTCGTTTTCATTCCTTACCAGCAATTTCTAACTTGTAGCTGCTAAGTTTGAATGTTATGCAGCTACATTTACTTGAATTTTGCTGATTCCGTTTTTTTAACCTGCCTTGCGTTTAAGTGAAATCAAATATAAACAACTTAGATTCGAACGTCAATTAAGTGATATAAACGTAAATTTGGTATCCTTAGCAAATGTCAATCATTCGGCTGTCTGGTTTATCTGCTAGCTGCCTTTGCCTTTGCGGACGACACTGACCTCCGTAATTTATATGCTGGTTGAATCAATCCATGAAATGTGTGCGCATTGTCCTTGGCAAGAGCAATTATGTAGCAAATAGAACTGACACTTTACAGGTCGTACAGTAAAACACTATATTCCTAACACACTTTCAAATTAGGTTAATGAAATACATTATGCAAACATGCGGAGAAAATGCTTTACCTCTATTGTGCAGAAGGTGGGTGGCGAATAGTAGTAGGCATAATTAAAAGTGACAAAACGCTTAACAATTTTCTTATCAGATTTGCCAAACGCCTTCTAATAAATAAGGTTTGCTGCTACTCACATGTTAGTCAAACCAGTAAAATGCGTATGGTCTAATGGTTTCAAGCTTCAGTTCATTTACTTTGTCCTGTAAATGATGTACACTTAATACCTCTTTGACTACATTTTTATAGCCAATAACTGGTGAAGGGCAATGAGAGAAAAATAAACGCAATACTAGTTGATCAATTAAGCATTGAATTTTATTTAGTTCTGGATAAAATAAATGAAAGACAGGGAGTCGTTTGTACATGTTAATGCTACGTATGTGTTTTGCAAGTCAAACTTATAAAGACCAAAATACCATTTATTGGTCTAACTGCCATTCCTTTCGTCAGTTCGTTCCTGAGGTACATTAGCGACGGCAGTTGTGTAGTCTGTATTTACCGTGTTTTGCTCTTTCAAGGGGGAAGCAAATGACACATAACTTTGACTGTCGTATACCAAGTGGGTTGGAAATGTCATGTGAACGGGGCAGCTTGGGATGTGTTTTATCCGGTTTGCAATCGGCGAACTGGTAGAATAGTAAGACAGGGAATTTCCGTAACTTGTTTCAGGTGCATATTCCGTGTTCTTAATATTAGGGTTATTTGACAAGTATTGTTCATACTTACAAGCCGATATAGAACTTGTGGTACAGGGCTTTGGAAATTCTGATGTTCTCAAGATTACCTTCAGTGCTTTTTCGTTGTGAGTTTCTCGTCGTATTGGACTACATTTCCGAATGTCATAATTTTGATTTTGAGCTACATGCGATGAACAGCGATTGCAAATAATGGGTAGTCTGAAAGCTAACAATGTTATTGAGCATAGTATCACACATCCGGCACCGGCCAGACAGACGACGAGCCAAATGTTGACTTCACTTATCCCATATGATTGCATTCCTGAAGTCAGTGTGAAAGCAGTCCCGTTGACTGTATACATCGTATTTGCTTCTCCACGGCTTTGTTGATCGACCGCAACACGATTTCGTTGTTGATCCTTCAATTTTGAATGGGTGATGGAGCTTACTCTAGTGCGCACATGATGCTGACCACGGTTATGCTCATCAAAGTTTTTGGCATCAGATTGTAGATGTTCAGTTTCTGAATTCCTGTGAAGGAAATACATAAAATGTGGTTTCATCGAAAATTTTGAAACATTATTATCAGGCTAGATATAGAATTAGACTATACTTCTTGCATGATAATCTTACATTAGGATAATTAAAATAAAAGTAAAGTTAAAGCAGTATGCCTTATGGTATCCACCGAAGTTCTGAATTCTGAATATATATAAGATTATACACAACAAGAGAAGTTTAAATGCTGTAGTTATTATACGGTTAGGCAGAAATAAATAGGAGAATATTGTTAAATAAATCAATCTAATACTTAAAACAAACTCATTGCGAGTTGCGATAAACAAAATGAACAGCTAAATTGTATGTAATTTGTATTACAGGTATGTGGAAGCTTCGATATTATCTTAGAATCATAAGCTACTCCAGGAATTCCCGAGCAAAATAAACTACATAAAATAATCAGCATAATTATGCGCGTCAGCTAGAGGTGTGAATCACCTTAGCTAGTCTGCCGCAATACTTAGAGGAAAAGGAAATTAGCTACAACGGTTGCATGCCAGCTGAGCCACCAGCAACGGATAGGTATCGTTCCGGTTAGCTACTTGCCGGCTACTAGGCAAGAAGAATTATTTTAATGTTTTACGCTACGAAACGAGATCGTAGATAGAGGGGGAGGCTAAAAAGGGTTGGGGGGACAAATAAACTCATAGCAGGAACGCTAGTGAGGTCGGCTCTTTGACATATCAGCAAGTGTATCCAGGCAAACGTATCCATCGTCTTTTGGACTTAACCAGGTAGCCGTGACGCTCCAACCGAGGCCAGCACAGAAGTGAGGGACTTCATTCCTCTGGACCAAGTGATCGCTTGGCCAATCCTCCTCTTCTTCCATCTACATCCTCGATGAGCAAACAACGCACGTCATGGAAGTCGGTGGGCTGGCATGCGCAACACGTGGTCCATCCATCGGAGCTTGGTGCGTGAAGTGACGGTGCTGGGCGGTTCAGTAGAGTTTTCTGTGCCGTAAACAGGGCGTCGAACACGCTCGTTACTCACGCGGTGTTCCCACCACATGTGAGCCAAACTGCGAAGGCACCGCTGGATGAACTTAAGTTTCCTCCTTATGTCAGTCGATTTTAGGGGCCATGTTTCGCAACCGTACGGTAAGGTCCATCATACCGCTGCATTGTACACTTTACCCTTCAGGGCAATTTAATGTTGCGCCGCCACCAAAGGTGGTGAAGATTAGTAAAAGCGAATAGAGGTTTTGCTATACGGTTCGTTACGTCGTCTTCGATCGCAAGGGCGCTTAGAAAATTTCCAAGTATTTGAATTTCCGAAAAACTTCTAGATGATCCCCAACAAGGGTCAGCGCATGAGGCGATCCCTGCCAATCTTTGAGGAAAGCTTTGCAATTTGATGGTGCAAAGCAAAGCACAAAGCGGCTGACAGCCAGTGCTTATCTGTCCAGCACGGCTTTGCACATCTGGGAGTCGTCACATATGAGGAAATATCGTCTGCATACTTCAAGTCAAGACGTCGTTCTCCTGGGAGTAGCTCCACAATTTCCAAGTCATGTCCTGTAAATGCAATGTCTATGACTTCGTCAATAACGAAGATGAAGAGGAAAGTTGACAAAGGGCATCCTTGTCGCACACAACTGGATATATTGAACGGTGACGACAGCTTGTCGTAAGCCCTCGCTCTGCCCGTGCTACGCGCGTATAACGCTTGGATAATATTCACCTATTTCTCGGGCACACCTTTCCTGAGTAGACAATTACAAAGGGCCCATCCATCAACCAAATCGAAGGCACATTTGATGTCGAGAAACACGACTACTGTGAGCCGCCAATATGGTTGAAGATACTCCAACAACTGACACAAAGTGAAGATGCGAGGGATGCAATCACGACCCTGACGAAACCCGCATTCCTCCGCACGGATCTGGCTTTCATGTTCGCCAGTGAGTCTCTAAAGGATTATAGAGGCGAGTAATTTTGAGGCGAGAGAGAACAGACTGATTCATCTATGGTTGCCGCATTCCGAACGCGAGCCCGTTTTCAAGATGGGAACAATAACGGAGCGGCTCCTGTCGATTGAAACAGTCTCCTGCACCCACAGTTTCGCTAGTTACTCATGTAAAGCGTTAAAATAGTAGAGCCTTCGAATTTGAAGAGTGCTGGTGGAAAATCATCTGGCCCCGCGGCTTTGTTCGAATAAGGCAGTCCGATCTCACGTTTGACTTCTGAGCGAGAGGGTGGATCCAAAATGGCAGCTAGCAGATCAGGACGATCACTCCCCCGCGAAAAGTCGAACAATTCCAGCCGATTAGATTGCTTTTCAAAATGCTCAGCCCATGCTCCAAACGTTTTGAAAAATTTTGGATAGGCTGTCCACTCTCGTCGATTATAGTTTCACTAACACAAGGTCTGGTTAATTGGTCTAGATTATGCGGACGATATTGTCTTGCTTTTCAAAGATGTTGGGGCGGCACAATCAACCCTGAATAGCCTGTCCAGTGTGGTCCCATTATTTGGCACGCACTTCGCACCTTCAAAGTGCAAAGTGTTGCTGCAGGACCACCAGCCCCTTGATGACCCGTTGACGCTTGCCAACGAGGAACTCGTAGTGGTTGATCATTTCAGTTATCTTGGTAGCTGCATCAGCAATGATGGGCGCATAGAAACTGACGTCAGCTCACGCATTGCAAATGCCAGAGCTGCCTTCTTAAATCTGTGGCATCGTTGGCGACAGAAGGGAGTTTCTCTCCGTCTGAAAGTCCGTGTATACAAGGCCAAAGTGAGGGCCGTTCTGCTCTATGGTAGTGAGACTTGGCCCCTTCCGTCTGAAGATCTGAGGCGCCTTCAAGTCTTTGATCATCGTAGTTTGCGAAGCATTGTTGTTGTCGGATGGTACCAGCGTATCCCTGACGATGATGTGCGTAGGCGAATACTAGGTGGTGATAATCATGCTAGCTCCCTAGAACCACAGATAGCAATGAATAAGTTGCGTTGGTTTGGGCACGTGCTACGCATGCCTGGTCACCGCTTACCTAGCAGTGCCTTGTGCAGTCTACCAGGTGTAGGATGGCGCAAGGCTCGAGGTGGACAGAAGTTGAATTGGTAGCGGGCAAGGAAGTCACTGACGACCAAACTGGGTGCCGTTGGTCTGTCTCGCCTTCCGGGCTGGAGTCCACGTGACTCACCTTGTACTGAATACTGAATACTGTATTTTGGAGCAAGTAGAAAATAATTCTGTACAACTCCATCGGGCGATAATCAAAAACAATTTAAAAAAATAAGTAAACACGTCCGGTGGTTATCCTGAGATGGGTCGGGAACTCCTTCTGTAGCACACAAAATGCTTGTTCACACAGTGAGTCACAAGTGGGTGATATATTTGTCAAGTGGCAACCGTTCTCTGAAACGTAGGTTAGCGAAGTGTAAATCCAACAAAGATTTGAATTTCTGCACAGATTCGGCCTCGACGACTTGTTCTGGCAGGCGTGCACAACCCTTCGCTCGAAACACAGGGGGTGTGGGATTTTCTTCAGATCAGGTACCACGAGTTTGTACCTGTGCTCACGTGTGGTGCATGGTACTCGCAAGTGGAGTAACAGCCTCAGCATGGGGAAATGACCGAGATGTAAAATACGGTAGGTCATGATGAGATCCACTCGAACACGGCGATACGACAAGGTGTAGAGCCCAAGTTTCATGCACCGGTTTTCATACGATTAGCATCTCAAGCTGGGGATCAACTTGGTGGCGATTTGTTGTACTTGTTCGATGTTTTGCGCTTTGCCGCGAGTGATCGCACAATATGCAGGCGAGCCGTACTCCAGCATTTGTCTGACGATGGAAGAGAAGAGGCGAGTGGCGACGTCCTCAGACCAAGTGCAGAGGCTGCGCTTCAGCGCCCAGAGAATGGGCAGTCCGTTTCGATACAGTTGTTGGTGTTTTTGGCGGACTTCAAGTCGCAGCGTGAGAGTACACCTAGGTCTTTCACGGAATGTGTTTGATGCAATGGTTGGCCGTCAAGGTTGTACGTACGGCAGTGAACAGCCTTCCCGAAACTCATGAATTGGGACTTTGCCGTGTTGACCGGTAGGTAGGCTTCAGCAGACCATACCGCGAGGCGGTCGAGGTCTTGTTGGATAATGTCACAGTCATCGAGAATCTTAATTTCTCGCCAAATTTTGAGGTCATCCGCAGCTATTACAAACCGAGTGGTCTATTTCGGAATCATCTGAACTATTTTTATCCCACAAACAGGGGTACTCCACACGGAATAGAACTAAGACATTTTTATTACGTATCCATTTAAAATGTATGCTTCAGATTCCTTGTATTTTACATCGTTTGCGGAATTTTAGATGTGAAGAAATATTAGCCCACATGTTGACCGCCACACACTTCTACGCGAACTATGACGCCTCTTCTTTTTGTACGCATAGGTCAAACCTCCCATTAACAAAGTCATTGCAGAAACCATTAGACTGAGTAAAGGGGACACTGTCGGGTCTACAGAGTGGCCGGTTGAATGTTGCAGTACGCGCCGTTGTTGATACAACTAGGTGTACTCTAATTATACCGCACAGACTACGTGGACGAAAGAACTAAGTTTAACCAAATAAAGTTCATTTTCTGTAGCCCACAAGCGCGATACTTGCTCTTGCTGTGAAGTGAATTGCAGCCGTACTTTCAACTCAAATTTACAAATAACGCTAGTCCTTGACTCAACTTTGCATGTTTTATACTTCTTTGAATGCTATAAATGATTTATTGGGAACAACCTGATACAAATAGGCTCATTCTTATTCTATGACGTGTATCCTGAGAACACTGGCACATATACTTTACACTAGGTCTTAAAATTGGCAGTTTGTTAACTTCAATATCGCGTCGGTTATGACATTCATGTGCTTACCACATTTTGAGCATGCTGCTTCGTATGAACTCAACAATAAGTCTTTCAGCAACTCGGCTTGGAACGGAGTGTAGTGAATATCTGACCAGTTAACTCCGACAGTAGTGGATGTAAATTCGGTGTCGGAATAAAATATGTTGCTTTACAAGCACTATGCGGACTTGAACTAAAATGAGTTCTATCCCGATTTATTGGTCAATGCACCTGACTTTTATACTAGCAGCCAAAGCGATAGTTATCTTTCTGCTACTGATGTACCGCAGCCACTAGTCACTTCAACAAAAAGACATGAAACATTGTCCAACTAGTGATATTTTGTATCAGAGACGGCTAACACTTGTGGCTAATTGCTGAAGTTGCCCTTTTACCACCAGTAGGATTCGGTAATATAACACTTAATATTATGCTGAAGTAAATCTAAGGGATTTTTCAATTATTCCTATGTGTAAATATATTTCTACACATGAGCAACGTGCATACAGACCAAAATATGAGACCTCCAGTGGTTTGGCATTTTATGTAAACAGATGTTAGTTGAGTAACTTCAAAATTATACGTCTATGATGAAGTCACTATATTTAGGAGCGTCAAATGTGTACGGCGGCAGGAACTGAATATACATCATAGGATGTTAGTAGTAAACGTTGCATGCTGCATTAGGGTCCTACCACTTACGGATATCGCAAAGACGTCCTTTAAAAGCCGTTGTTTCGCATAGACATCGCAGACCCGTCCAAAGCTGCACACAGGTTCCACCATTACGACACGTTTTATCCCTCACTGAGAGTGTGTGTTCGAATATCGAGGGTTCATCGTACGTGTTTAATGAATCAAGTGTCAACCGATTTTCGCATCGCTTCGTAGACGTTGGCAAAGTAAAACATCCCGCCGTCACATCGCCGAAGGTAGTATTTCGGAAATATGTATTATTCTGGCATGTTAAAGGATCAGTAGCGAGTTGGTCGTTGACAGACAGGTTGGCGAAGCATCCCTAGGGATAAAAATCAACAAGCCTATTTGATGGAATGACAATAAATGCAAGTGTTACATAAGTACAACATTTTTAGGTAGCTAAAACTCTTATTGAGCAATTAAAATTTGTCAAAAATGGTGCTTCAGTTTTGCGCTGCTATTTAAAATTTATGAAGAACATTTATAAAACCAAATAGCTTTTTTTCCGGATTCCGTGGTTCAGACTACTATTTCACAGGGAAAAGCCATTTACCATGGGAAACAAGACGTAACGCACTACCAACTTACCGGCTCTGTTGGCTATCTCCAAATAGGGGAAATAAGATGAATTCCTAGCCAATGTTCTTGCATTAGGCCCGAGTTCTTGCGTTTTGATTTTTTTTAAATGTTTGTAAACTAAGCATTAAAAACGTTCTTAATTAGACAACCATAGAATGCTAACGTCCATTGATTTGAGACAGGAAGTATATTAATTAGTTTTCATAAAATTAATCCACTTCTTTTATATATACATCTTAAATATCTTAACAGTTTGAACTTACCTTATGGTTTAGTGATTTCATGTGTAAGAAACAGTCAAGCTACAAGCTTTCACTCCGTCTACTATAATGTGCCGTCACGTTATCATCCTTTGAAAGCTCATTTTGATTCGCGCTCGCTAAAATTACCAAATCATGCACCTTCATACATATATTCATTAGCTTTGAATTTGTTGTAGGTGACAGGATAGATACCGGGTTTCTGTTTTCTGCGTTGCCATAGTCCTCGTTTTGTTTCAAGCGCAGCAAATTTCTCGTCTTCAGTAATTTTATATATTCGGAATTACGCCGTTTTGGTATATGTTTGAACAATTAGACGATATAGTTGATTATAATGTTAACTGTTTATTTGGCAGGAAATGATCAGAACAAGCAATTTAAAATTTCATCGCAAGGTCGCAAATTGCACCATTAATTTAATATTAAAATATTACGTTAATTATTTTATCTGGTTTTTGCGATTAAGTCAGAATAATAGAGAAGAAATAGTAATATGTTTATTTGTATTTGATAAGGTTTAAACGTAAAGCTAAAAAATGAATACAGATGACTATTTGTACAAACTATACAAGGTTTCATTAAATTACGCTTTGATAAGTGTACTATAAAAATAATAGCTACTGACTATTTGTTTACGCTTTAAGGACAGTAGCAACCAGGATTACATACATTCACATGTCAGTATATATATATGTAGTTGTGTTGTTATTAGCGTCAATAAGAACTCTGTCATTGCGTAAGTAAAGTTGTCAATGCTATAGAAGGATAATTTTAAACATACTTTATTATTAATATGGATTATTTAGCATAAAAGTATAACCAATGAAGCATAGGCATTTTCATTTGAATCGAACATTTAAAATTCTTCTGGTTTCCATAATTATGAACCAATGTAGCGCGTTAGGTTTAAAAATATTCGCTTATTTTGCGACGCTCTTCATCGGTGGAATAATTAGATGTGTATTCTCTCTACTTAGCATTTATAATTATGTTTTTTTAAGTATAGAATACACATTATAAGTTCGCCTCCCTTATTCCTTATACGTCGGGTTGCAAAATGAAGACATGCAAGTAGAACGCTAAGTTATTGTATCAATATTTTTTAAATACATTTCAAGTACTCATTATTAAGATAATCTAACGTATCTTCAAAAGCGCTTTTAATGTATTGTGCTGGCTTTGAACACAAATAATGATTAGGCATTTTAAGCCTTTTTAATGCACATTTTACCAGTAGTTAGTTAAGAATGGTCAAACCTGGAATCCGAACCGGTAGTTGATTCGCTCTCTCCAGCGGTAATACACATCTTCATGTGCTCCTCCTATGTATAATTGATCGGCAAGGTTGAAATTTCTCGAACGTTTTCCACGAATTACTGGCAGATGTGTTTTCGATTCGGTCAATTCATCTTTATCAACAGTGGTAATAATTACGTTGCTGCCAACGTCATACCTAAAGCAAACAAATGCATGTTACCTAGACATTGAAAGTTAAAAGGAATGTTCTGAGTTAGATGGTTGAAGTAGGTGTGCTTAATTAACTCACTTGCATAACACTTTTCGAGTTTTAGCTTAATAACCGACTCCTAACCAGAGAATACCATTTCATTTGCAGGGTGGAATATTTATTAATTTTGCTACTTCAGCTATCTTTACTATGGGATGTAAGCAATATACATTATTCTTTTGAAAATTATCCTAGTTTACATTTTTGCACAGCGTTTTGTTTTCTATATAAATTGTTGAACACCATCCTCATACATTAAAGTTGGATGCACATTTTGAAACGTTATTATCATTGGTAGCCTCAAGCGCGTTGCTTAGACAAGCCTAGACTACTCAATTTAAAAAAGTATATGTTGCAGCACTGAAATCAGACAGACAGTATTTTAACTCTCATTATTGTGTTTTAACCACCTGGTTAATATTATTCCATGACCAAACAGCCATTATGATATTAACAGCCTTATATATGATTCAAAATAAAACTTGCTACGAATGCGCAACTTTGACTTTGACTTATATTAAAAAGCATATTATTAAGGAAACATATATGCTTACCTTGCAAGCTCAACTGTATGCCATGTGTCGTCGTCGATTCTGATATCCGACAATTTATGTCGCTGAAATCCACTCCCCATGTCGAAGCTGAAAAACAGCCTAGATTGGTGAAGTTCAAAAAGTAAATAATCCGCACTGGACAAGTCGGAATTGAATAGTATTAGCCCGCTGGACTGCGTTGTGCGGAAAGCAAACCGTAGAATAAATTTATCGTACAGCTGCAGGGAAGGACACGTCAAATATCCAAATGCGTCCTTGAAAGTGACTGCGTATGCAAGGTTTGGTGTCAGGTGACTGCCGACACTACGGAAAGATCGGGCTCTTCGTCGCTTTTCTGGATTCAATGCTTTACTTGACGGTAGGATACCGTATTTGGACTGAATAGTAACTCCATGATTTCTTTTAATGGTCGTGAAATTGTGAGACATGTAATCCGCCGGCTTGAGTGATGTGCGATTCTGCGCTGGGGAAGTGGGTATATAAAAGAAGCTTTTGTCTATCCACTTCAAATACATGCTAATGTATTTCAGCAGGATGGAACCACCGAGATTATTTACAATCTTTATGAGTACAGTGAACAAAAAACATCGCCAGTAATGTAGTCACAAAACCACATCCCACTTTACTTATATACGTATTTAACTACACCCATGCATTTAAGTTGTCATTCAGCATGTCACAGAATTATGGTCGCAGTTTTGCAGCTGTTTGAAATTTTCGTACGAATTAGATAACTTCGATTACTGTGATTTGTATAAATTAAAATATTAAGGACCGTAGATTTGGTTGCAGGAAACTACCAGATGATTATGTCAATTCTATCAAACTAATTGCTTATTCGGTGGAAAAAACAATACAATTGAATGTCATTATATTGGATAATGCCTAACATTTGCACTTCTATTTTGGTAAACTTAAAAGAATGATTATTAAAATCTCCGTAAGCAGGAATGGTCCTATATAAACGTGTTCTCGGTGAGCACTAAAATTATAGAATTGCTTTAACCATATACACAACTTGACATTTCATCATGTGATTTTAAAGTGCCTTGTTTGTATATATACTGCAGTAAGTGGGTCATAAATGAAAGCGGTTGTAAACTATTTTTCGTGGTGATTTTTTATTATGCGTTACTGAATGACCCAAGTAAAAATAGAGGGAAAACGTTGGGAATATTTTTGACTAGTCGCTATGAGCAGGTGGTTCTAATGGGCAGCTGATCGCCATGGGCTGGTGGTCGCCACAGGTAGGTTGTCACAATAGCAGATCTTACTATACATATGTAAATGTTGATCCGTGGGAACAAGTTGCACTATGTACTAATTTTTCTGGCACTCTTTCTATTCGTCATACGGCTTTTTATCTACCACATGATTCAATGTCAATTTCACCATGTCATGTATTTCTTATTGCTAACAACACACTAAGGCACAATCATAATTGATGCCCAACGTCAGCAGTGCAACATAATATTTGTGGTGCTGATTAGGGTCAAAGATAAAGAATTTACCTCGGATTTTTAATTGAATTAGACGGCTCTCTATGCTCGCATTTGTCTTGTAGTACCTCTTTTAGTGAAACCAAGAAAATAACATAGTTAATCATGTTAAATATCGTTTCGGAGCCTGAATCGGGAAAAATTGAAGGCTATTTGATAAACGATCAAAAACAATGGAATTTTCTCTGCTTGGCGAGCGGTATTCGGATTGAGTCCAAAATGCTTGAACGCTTGGATTTTCACTATATTCAATGCACTACAGGAAACCACCATTTATTCGATTATTTTCGTACTCAGCAGATAAGTAAGGGACCAAAATAATCTCAGCGGATTATCTAAACAAAATTACCAACGAGCTACACGTAATAACAGATGTTCTTGGAATTATTGTTTAAGGGTTTGGACAGCCTGTGCTAACTGCGCACAGTTTCATGACCGAAAACAGTGACGCAACATACTCGAAACACACTGTCGTTATCGGTAAATTGTTGACGAGCATTCATTTATTATCAAAATGTCATAGCTGCGGTCCAAAGATATTTAAGTCGTGATATATTTTGAATCGCTGACAAAAGTCATATTTAAAAGACGGTTGAAATATCGCATAAGGTTACCAAATGAAATTTAGGTAAAAGCGGTAAAGGTTAGTGACGAATGCCAAACACTTCTTTGAAAGGTTTAACGGCAATAATAGGTTAATTGACCTGCTGTGTGATAGGTAAATATCAGTGGTATGCTAGTTCTGACTTATACAATTGAGCCACCGGGTCACAACAGGCAACACTTGGCTTAAAGGTTAATGATGATTAGGAGGTCGTATTGCGGTGATTGTTGTTTGAAGAGATTGCGATGCGCACACTCCATGTGTACCACGACACAATACCGTACAGGAGGTAAAATGAAATACCGTACTCTGGAAAACTCGGGGCTAACAATCAGGCTGAACGAAATGCAAGGACGCATAGCACACACAAAAAGCGATAAATGGCCGACCAACTGATGGTTGGCTCAAAGATTACCCAAACGTTTAAGGGCAATAAAACCCCTATTACATTCAAATCATCATCCTGCTTGTATACGGGCTTAAAAAACCTATGTATTAAGTTGGTCCAACTTACAGAAATCCCCGTGTTCCAAGAGTGGAATAATATAATGTTTACAGTGAATCGGATAATCCTTGGGAAAGCTGATTGTGAAGTGAATCTACCAATCAGGCTTCTGTTTTGAAAGGTTAGATCTGGAAGAGGACGTGGTGTAATTCGGCATTATATGGCTAACATATGATTTGAACTTGTTGATCACACAGAAAACCGTGCTCTCTCTTTTCTTTGGTGCTGTCTATGACTGCAGAACAACGACACAAGCCTCGTATTTGCTATTTACCAAATGCTAAACACTACGTCGAAAATGAACTCCAAACTGTACCATGTCCTTCAGAATACCTTAAACAATTGATAATTTCAGCTTCTCATCTCACGTGATTTTAACTTAAACTAGTTAGAATATGCGGATTAAAGTGTGCTTACAAGAGCTAATTTCCAGTTAAACACGTACAACTACCCTACCTGTCCACCACATTGCAAACAGCTAACAGGCTGTCATTACTTTATACTTTTATCAAAACCTAACAATTCTTGGTGAGCTAAGTAGATACATGCACACAAATGTGTCAGAAGGCTCAGGGTACTCGGTTGTTTGAATATATGTTATGCTGAATATACTTCATTAAATGTATAATATATACAATCACGCACTGCAAACTATTATCAGTGTTGGATAACTTGATATCTTGGTCACTCTCCACTGAACACCTCCTAAACATTCGCCCGGAAAGGTTCCCTAGGACAGTTAGCACACTGCAAAAGAAGGCGTCGGAAGAGAATTCCTTACCTCATCTAAGAAATACAAGTCATGTATGAGATTTAGAACACATAAATGCTGGTCTTTGAGGGAATTAGCATAGCTAGCTCACAAGTAATCCACGTATGCCCAAACCTGGTCAGCTAATGTGGCACAGAGTAAATTTGCGTAGCATTGATACGTAAAGACCTTGTAAAACATCAGCAGGAATCAAAGAAGAGATTCTGCAAGAAAAGCGCAACCTTGCATGCTGGCCTGTAATTAGCCTCCCTAAGGTGTAGCGCAGAATTCTAGCACTGGTCATGACTGAATAGTGCACGCGATCCACAACGATATCAGCAGATCGCTCACCTTTCTATTACATACTCTCAAGCTAGTAAAGAGCTCAATGATTCCACTATCAAATATTGCAGTATAAATTGTACAGCAGTAGTTGGGTTAACGAAGCTGAGTCCATGCGTGGTGACAGCCCTCCTGCTGCCAAAAAATTCGGTTGGGGACTCCACGTGCAGCACTATGGGATCTGGACTGGATAATGTTTATCAGCGCTATCTAGGGAATAATTAAATATCATCATTATTGTAGCGAGGGATCCTCCGTCTCATTCGTAAGGTAGGTAACCGCAGAGACGCTGCAAATTATACAGATAACTTTGTTTTGCGTGCTTTTAAAACTTGTGGAAACAATCAAAGCTGCCGCACATACGCAGTAGCTAGAAAGCTGCAGCTTATTCGCCTCGGGACGAAATATTTGGCAACGAAAACATACATTCTTTGGACGGGCAGTATCTTTTAAGAACGTCCTTTAGTGGTGGAAATACGAAAATCCCTGTCCGACACAATCAAGGCTAATTGCATCGTAAGACAGGCCTTGATGTTTGGCCTTGTCTACATCTTCATTTATAAATAACCTACGGCGGGAAACTGCTTATGATTTCCTATTATAAGCTGGTTATATCAACATATTATGAGCGTGCGGGAAACTGTACGCACGAAACGTTCCATCCCGCACTCAACATAATGTCGAAGTAGTCAACTCCAACTTCATATCTGGTGATATCAGCATATTTATGGGCGTGCGTGGAACTGTATCTTCACGAAAATTTCCATCGCGTCCTCAACACCATTTCGAATTAGTCAACTCAAAAGTCACTAACATTCAACGTTGACAAATGTTGCGTTATTCACTTAACCCATCGACAGGACAACGTGTATTGGCTTGGGTTACAATTAAGGTGAACGACATTCCAGCACCGTGACCTTAGTGTGCTCATCCGTAGGGAATAATTTTTTAACTCAGTCTCAGTCCATGGCAAAAATAGGCAACCCGCACGACGGATTGCTGCGAAGTACACCAGAGATTTTAACCCGTCTACCTGCGGATGATTTAACATCTAGGCAAACTTAATAGACAGGTGACATGGTGGAGCTAGCGATATTAGGATACAGGTTTACAAAGAACCTCAATGGTCCAGAAAATCCTTCCTACTGCAAAGAATAACGTCCGTTGGAATTTGCATCAGGCGTTCCTAAATGCTGCGTAACGATCTCATACTTGTTTACCAAATATTCATTGACTAATCACTTCGGCCAACTTTGACTAAAACGCAACCATCACATTAATATCATAAGTATCATCTTGAAACTGAGTGAACTAAACCGTCGATTTTAATGCTAGAGTGATTGGTTTTCCTTCGATTGTGACAAACATCGAACACAGACAAAAACTGTGTTTTGTGTCACATATTGGATATGTTAAGAAAGACGGTTTGATGTTGCCCTTGGTCCTCATAACTTTGTTGTCTAAGCTGTGTTAATTTGGAATACAGTAATCCTGCCGTTCAACTGGAGTTATATCTTTAATGGAATTTAGGAGACGGAATACGAGTGAGTATAATTTTTTGTAAGTTTACCACGGTGTACGTAATCCTTAACTGCCCCCATGTTATCTTGTTGTTTGTATTCAATTCCTATTTGACACACCTATTATTCAGCAGATCATCTGTTTGGTAGAAGCCTAAACAGACAACACGTATACCTTTAATATTGTGCATTGACCATTGCTATCTTAGAAGACTTGAAAAACAACTGCAATTTTTCACATGATAACTCACTGATGTTTGTTTCTTTTTTGTCCAAATAGTAAAACAATCAGATTTGAACCTGAATAAATATTAGTTTACCTGACGTATTACAAATATAAACTGCCTTTTTGACGTCTAACTGGTGGCTAGTTTATTCTTCAATATAAGGTGTCTCTTGGCACAATTCGTGAGCATTTTTCTTCTGCTTGATCGTTTAGGTTCATTCGATTTGTCCATTTGTAAGTGTCATCATAGATTTGGTTCAATGTACAAAACTTCTCTTGCGTCAACATAATGAAATCTTGCGCCCATTCGCCATCGATTAGAAAGATTGTTATCAATGCTAAACCGAAATATTAGGGCAAACGTTCTCAGTATATCTATTTGACAAAGTCTTAGTAGACGATCAAGTATTTAGACCAAATTAACCCTGAAACCCACAAAGATCTTCACGCACGTCAGTATCCTGCAAACAATGTCATTGGAGTTATAACATCGAAATCCGCTTTGCTTTATCAACGGGATAATTGACATGCATACGCAATTTATCACTTTGTGTGTGCTTTCTGCTACTAGAATAATCCGAAAAAAGAGTGGCCACGAATATAATTAAAAACATCACATGAATTCCAATGCGTCCAATTCATTTGTTTATGATTTTATGAACATAAAAATCATGACAGAAAACAAAATAAATATATTACTAGTCACCTCAGGACATGTGCGATCATGATGAAACTAGGTTGTTACTTAGTACCAATACCTGCACATGAAACAACCTTATCGCTAGCCACTAGTAAATTTACCTTATATATATATGTATAAAATTGACAGCATTAGACTACTTTGAATTTGAATATTTGGTTATGTTTTACTACAAGGAAGATTGTCCCCGGGTTGATTAACATTCTTACCCTAATTAATAGTTTACACTGTATTTCAGTTAATATGATACGCTACAATACACGTTTCATTGTTATTAAACAATTACACTAGAAATGTTGCGCCTATTTGCAATTACCACTTTTTATTCTTATCAATCAGAGCACTACATTGAATTTAGTTATGTTTATATAGCTGTGGTTTGTCCATACAAATTAAGTTCTCTAAAAGTCAAGCAGGACAAACAAAAGAAAGAAGCAGGCATTGTTTCAAATTAATAGAGCATTTCTTCGACGAAGCTTTGTCCTAAAACTGTAGGCATCTCAGGTTATTTGTTGAATTATTTCGGTCTATATCTCTACATATATTAATAGCCTCAATAATCTGCTACATCTCCTGATAAAACTCAAAATATGGAGATTCACTTAGTTGTTTATTTTACAATACCGAAAGCTTGATAAGTCAACAGTGAAACATAATTATTTAAGCATTTACTTATACATGGAATTCGATAAGCAACTGCAGCTGATGGTCATTAAATAGAAAACGCTGGAAATACTATCCGGCATCCTACCATGTGACAAACGTGGTACATATACACCGTCTTATCATTTACGTCCATTTTATTAATCAATTAGAAAATTCAATGAAATGAAGCATTGCGGATTTAATATGAGTTTTTCAGGAGTATTTGACTTTACCGGGTTAATCGGGTGAACAGAAAATTAAACTGATGTTGATGGCATCCAAATATTTTGAGACTGTGGGATGCTAATACGTTCTGTATATATTACTGAAGTCACAATGACGCCAGTGCATGAGAAGTGTTTGCTTAAAAGCCGCCACCTTCGTGCACTATGTGAGCTTAGGACAAATAGGTTGATTGTACTTAAGCCAGATAAATGATCAGGAGCTGTCGTTATGTTCAAGAAAATAAAAAACACACATAAAATGCAAGATTTAATGAGTGGTGCTAGCAAATTTAAACTCCTTACAAAAACAGAGGGTGTTAATGAAGTGGAATACGTATCACGGAACACCTCAAGTTGCTCCACTTTCACCGTGTAATGAATGGTGAGGTATATAACAGCATAAAACCGTGTGAGTCCAACATACCTCAGCTATACGGGTTGTCGAAGACCCATAAACGTGATATACCGCTTAGAACAATCTTGTCAATGGCAAACCCAACACAAGATAATTTGGCTCGTTGGTTGGTGGACGTTCTTGCGCCGTTGAAGCAGCAAAATCTCCCACATCGTCTGGAGGATTCTTTCGATCTTATAGAGGCTTTAGATGAGTTTAACCTATCCGATAAATTAATGTTCACATTGGATGTACAATCGCATTTCACCAATATTCCGCTACAAGAAAGATTTAACTGCGTATGTGAAATGGCGGAGTGCTCCGATTTAACACTTCCAATGCCAGTCCAATTATTAAAGAACAGCTTACTACCATACACTTAGAACATCGGTTTCCGATTCTAAAACTTTCCTTATCACCAGATAGATGGGGTGGCAATGGGTAGTGCGTTAGGCCCAATGCTAGCAGATGTTTCATGTCGATGATTGAAACGAAGTTGAGTGTAGAAATATCGCTTACTTCTAATATAAGCATTATGTGGATGATAATATAGTGTCTAGCTCATCAGAAGAATAAATCGCGAGTCTGCTCTATCGTCTGAATGACTTGTGTACGAATCTGAAAGTAACCAGGGAAACAGAGAAAAACGACTGTCTCCCATAACTGGACGTATAATTTGTCAAAGAGCAGATCGGTCCATCAAAATAGAGTTTTTCCGAAAACTGTCTTAGTCAGAGCAGTACTTGCAATTTACCAGCTTCGCCCCAATGCCGTACAAGCGGACCTTAGTCAAGACCTTATTCATCCGTGCAAGAAAAATATGCACTACCGACAGTTTAGATGGTGAGATAAACTCGCTCAAGTGTACGCTGTTGAAAATGGATAACCAAGTAGGTTCGTCTACAAACAAAGTCAGGCGAGGGTGCCGAGACAGAAGCATTCGACAATGTCTCAAAAAGAGGATCAAGCTACATCAAGCTACCATTTAAGGGAGATTTTGCCAATATGAGGGCAATGAAGCGCATAACTTCTGCCGTCCAAAGGACTTCATATTCTGCCGAAACGGTTCTTATCAACCGGATTAATCGAATACCTGTTACGCCAATGACGGAAAGACAAACTATTGGCGCCAACTCACATTGTATTTACCAATTTAATTTTTGTTGATGTATACACTACATCGGTCGTACCAAAAGATCGTTGAACTCCAGAATAAGAAACCACTTTCCTAAATGCTTGCAGCTTCAATCCACCCACTGGTCGGTCGCTAATACCATCTGTTCAATTAAGCCACCTGCTTCAGCCATAGGTAGGCATTCCTGGCCAATTGTCATCAGTTTGATCCAGCCAAAATATTTACAATCATGTTAAGCCATGTTAACACCCGTTTCCTACGTTTCGTGGGGGCCGTTGCGATCAACCGTATCAAATCCGCACTCTTTATGCAGAAACGGTTGTTCGTAAAACTACGGATTCCCTGGATGTAGGGGTGTCACGCCTGCCCCTAGCCAGTTTTGACTTGTTCCGTTCTCACCTTACCCGTCGTCTTATATATGTTCATGTTATTTTGTTGGCACTGAAGAGACAATACGGAATGTTGCAAGTGCTGAAAGTGTTCGTCTTCTTACGGCCTTATTCATATTACTAAAGAGATCTAATTGTTTTAAATATTCAAATAGACAAAACTTTTATTCCACGCAGTCAACATTTATGTGATCATTTTCAGGATTGATTCTAGCATTTCAATTATAAAATACTTAGACTTAGTGGCAAATTAGATACATTGTTCCCAGTGCTACTAGTTTGGAGAAGGCAGTGACAGACCCATTATATGTGTTGTTTTTTCTTAACATTCCTTCAACCGGTAAAAATAAGAGGATGGACAATATAAAGTAAACCCTGAGGAAGAAACCACGTCTGTATCGGCAGTAGGTAACTTACCGTATTTTATGTTTTTGCGCGTTGTCATTTTGCTGATGGCGTCCGAGAAAAACATCAGATATGCTAGAGCACAAACTGTGGCAAAAGTAATTCCAGGTATCATTGTGGTGAGCTTTTGGATAAGCCATATGCCTACACTGATCTGCAGGCAACATGCACATACAAAACGTTTCCGTTGAAAAGACTTACAAAATCACCCTTTGATTGCAGCACCTGGAGTTTCACATTGCACCAGTTCTACGGATTAAGACATAAAACGTTGCGGTGCACCTGGTTATCTAGTAACTTAAACTATGCGGAAAGGTGATTGGCTTATCTAGACACGACCACAAACCTGTGAAAGGCACAGCCACAATGTTTCTAGCCAATAGGAAGTGTTTTCGGGCCAGCAACATCAAAGAAGCTAAAGCAAGCGAATTGCTGCTGCGTTCGGGCTTTTTATACGAATTAGCCAATACCAATGGATGCGCGCCAGACAGCCAAAATAATGGCCACTGTATCTGACCAGCGCCGCCATCATTTTATGGTGGCAGTATTGCTTATGTTTGTGTCATTGTGCTGAGTATCAACACGAGCATGGAAAATACAATGTTACTCTACATTTCAATACTTTATTCCCTACGAGGCTCAAATTGAATTTTACGAAATGCGATGGCTTTATTTACTTGCCTAGCAGCGGATCGATGAATTTCGGCTTTATATCTTGTGAGTACAAATTACTTGCATGAAGGAAACCTTGTCAAATAAAAATATATGTCAAACGTGCTTGAAACGTGTTCCTAGACTCAGAGTTTTCTTTCCAACCGAGCTGAAAATGCTATTACTTTTAAGTTAAATTGCATCAAACGTAATTATTGTCAAGTTGTTATTCCTTGGATGCGGATTATATTAATGTATCTTACCTTACGGTGAATCCTCGATTTTTACTTATCAAATGGATATTTTGTATAAGCTTCAAGAATGTGGCGCAAAAGAATAAAAAACGAATGATTTAAATGCTATATTTTGTTTATAAGTCAAGCCAATATTAACCAGTGAGCACACATCATTTTATTTTGTGGAACATTTGGCAAGATTTGTTACAATTAACTTGTGTCTGATAAGTAAGATTAGTTCACCACATGAGCAGTAATAATATGCACTGTAAACCTAAATTTAGACGTCGACCAATAGCAGTTATCTGTTTAAAGTTGGGTGCCATCAACCAGTTGATCCACTGTAAGCTCCTGCCTCTTATCAAGCAGCTTCTCTACAGTGGTAACATTTCTTCCATTGGTACATACGTAAACAAGTAGGTAACTTTAAAGCTGACCATCCATTCCACTTGCTGGATGGTCATACCGCATACCGTTCCTGCAAAATTGTAATACAATGGTGTAATACGAGAAAGCAAGCAATACTTAACTAGTCATCTTGGATGGAAATTATTCCAAATTTTATTGCATGATTAAGTGAAATGCTTCTTGTTGGACTCATCATATACTTTTGTAGAACAGCGGGGATGTTCTCAAATTGAAAGTGTAAATCCATAAATCCATTGGTAAGGAATTTAATAAGGCAATGTTTAATTACATTTTGTAGCCTCCGGCTAACAATTCACAAAATGACACTTTATGAGACAACTCATCGTTAACTCGTTTATTTCATTATTGCCAGATAAGGAGCAGAAATGGCACAGTTAGGGAGAGCATTCCAAGACTGGCACACGCGGAGAGTATAGAAATATATAAGGCATTCAAGCCGGCTATACTGCATTTTAAGTTAGGGAGAATGGCCTCTTAGTTTATTGTGATTCAATTCCAGCAGCGGACTGCAAATGTGGTTTTTGTTCTTCAGGAACTAAATACTATTATATGATCACTTCACAAAAGCGGATACCGAATGCTGTGGGTTCTTAGAGGTTTCCGTCAAATCTGATAGGACATATAAATTAGTATCTTGACGTTTTTGGTTGCCATTATTTAAGGAATCTCGAGAACAACGAGATCTTGTTTCTGCCACCGCTGCCGCGCCTTAATAGCATATTCCAAGTGCGGTCACACAAAGTCTTTAGGCATTTGGGGACAGATTCTGCGTTCAAACAGACTGAATGATCTGTGAAGTTAGCCGAAGTGTTGATTGTCGGTTCTCGTCGCGATCTCTGTTGTTTTGATCACCCGATAGCTTCCTGTAACTATACACCAAACCATGCTCCTAATATGCCTTCTCTTAGGTGTGGTCTCCAGACTGTACTCGCTCACCGGTTAGTGACGCAGATGGCTCACCTGGCACAGTTATATTCAACTAGGACATTCACAAATACAATCAAAGTCATGTTGGAGTAGATCGTGATCCAATTATATTACGTCAATTCCGACCCCATCATCAGCCACTTCAGTTCAACTACCCCTTGCAACCCGTAAGTTAATGGTGCATGACCGGTGTTGACGGAAGCCATGCTGTTCCGGTACCAAGATGTTGCATTTTAAAGGTAGTTCATTAGAACCTCAGCGATGAGCGCATTCACCATCTTCGCGAGCACAGGAACGATAGTCACTGGTCGATGGTTTGAATAATGTAAACGGCTACCGCCTTTAGAAATTATGGTGATAATGCCACGCTTCTACATACTGAGGAATTGTTGTTCCTCAAAGCACTTTTGTAAGAACTGTGACAATGGTTCAGCAAGCTTGTTGGCCGCAGCCTACAACGTCCTCCGGTGGACTTTGACTGCTCCCGAAGAGATATGATCTAGCAGTGAGAGTTACATCCTTAGCACAATTGATGGGTTGAAAATTACATGTGTAAACAATGGAGCCGGTTATGTGCATAATATTATGGGTTGGTAGAGTCTGTGATTTGGAAACTTCTGGCGGATTGTGGCCGCAGTGTCTTAGCTGCTTCTTCGGCGCTTTGTGCTCTACGGCCGGTCGTGAAAAGTGGAGGAATTACATGCTTCACTTTACAGATATTATTAACATGCCTATATAGCAGTCTGTGTTTGCCGGGAATATTTCGGCTAGGCACTGTTTATAAGTCACATTTTCCCCACGGATTAGTGTATTGCAATGCTTTCGATGGGTAAGGAAATTACCCCAAAGCTCTTAGTCGAGGTAAATCTTTTAGGCACGCTATATTGCATTACTTTTGCTTCAGGCAAATTCGACATCTGCTTCATAGTTTGGATGTGTTTTGGCTGGAAGAGGGGGCTTAGACTCGGATAATCCGTTGACCATATCGCTGAGACTGTCAATGAATTCTGTCCAAACGCTGGTAGGTGAACTTTTATTTGCGAATTCCCAAGCAGCTGTGGTGACGAATGCTTTCAATACGTGGTAGCGTGTGATCATATGAATTAGTTCCGAATGTTCAGATGGATACCTTACTTAACACATATAGTCGCACGTTATCACTACATGGTCAATGAGACCTAATAGACTACTCATCAATAACTTGCCAACCATGAGCTCTTTATTCGTGAGCACAAACGTCCAATATGGACGGTTTGTCTGCTGTCCCGAATCAACTGGGCATGGTGACATGATTATACAAGGGAATATTAAGCATAATTCCATTCAAGTCTGCTTTAAACTGCTCACCGGCTGATGCCGATAACTCCAGATCGTGTAGATCGAATTCTACGGAGATGAGAATGTAGTTTTACCTTGTGCATGTTACTCAGTATAGGGCAGGTTTCAAGCGGAAATCCATTTACGGAGTGGACATTAGGGGGCGATAAACGACAGCAAGGAGACATGCGTCGTTGTGTCTTAGTCGGAGATGGTAACATAGTGAGTTGGTAACATGGGTTTCCAGATCATCGACTACTGCACACTACAGGTTGCTGCGGCAGTAGGTTAGCACCCCAAATCTTCTGCTGAGGGTCGTTCCGTATTATTGACATTCCGGCTATCTCAACCTCAGATTCATTCACCTCTTGGTGTAACCAAGTTTCGGTAATAGAAATAAGGTATCAAACATTCTCAAGCTGCTCTAGTCGAAGTTTGGAAATTTTACTGAGGTGACCTTGAGCCTTAGTGTAGTGACATGAACATTTCTCTGATCCAAGCAACATTTGAAAGGTTATGCAATTCATACGTGAGTTTTCTATGACCATTGGTTGGCCAGCGACTAATGGTTTTTCGATTTATACTTGGAGAAGTGTTTGACTTCTTATGTATCGTCCACGTAGTCAGTCCTATATGTAATCTTAAACTTACTGTGTGAGGTTTCTGGTCAACATCTTCTATAGGTTGTATTGGTTTTATTAGACACTCTTATGGTGCAATGTTCCTATTTAGATCCCATCGTTTTTAGTTCGTTTTATGATGTATTATCTCTAGGAGGCATAATGCTGAGAGTCTTTAGCCGAAGCTTAGATTATATACCGTAAAGGAACATCTAACGGCATTTTAGCGGCCGTGCTACCATATGTTTTGACTGAAGGACCACCTTCAAAACTCTCGGGTAACCCGTTGTAGTTCAGTGAGGTAGGCAGCCGTGACACGGATTTCCCTAACACATCATCTAAGCAGAGTGTTTCACGAATATCACACCATTGTTCTTTATCATTGGTTATTATTTCGTGCTCATCACATGTTTCAGTTTTACGAACCCGTGAGGAAAATTGCTGCTGGTTGAAGTTTACTTCCGGCAGCCCTGTATGATGCGGTTAGCTAGATAAAACTTGCATCATTAGATGTCCGGAAATATACTGATGAAGCAATGTTCGTTTCTGAGACTATCGCTCGACAGTAATACTGCTTCTACTACAATGATGATGTTCAGCTCAACACGCAGTAGTCTTGGCTCTACGAAATGCTTAGAGTTGGTTTGTTGCGTAATATGCACTACGTATACAGCTTTCAATACAATTCTGATAAGTTTAATAATAATATCATACTGGTTGAGGTCATCCAACTGCCTGCCTCTTATTGATGTCTAACTTGATTCTGAGATTTTGGAGCAAAATACAATCCTGTGCAGACAGTTGTTTCTTTACACCTTTCGACATTTCGCGGTTAGTGATTGAAATATTTGGAGTTTTACTGCAGTAAACCAATGGTGCTTGAACTAGATAACCTCTGCTCCGCTCCTCATTATCCGATTAATTTGAGGATGTTAATTTTAAATGACGACCCTTCTTGGAACCAAGCGTAACTCAAGTTTTGTTAGTACTGGCTTGCTCTTTCTCTACGCACTCCGTCGGGAGATTGGCACTAGCATTACGTTTAATTACTCCGACCCAACTGGGAACCGCATTAGTCAAATGTGAGCCACGTGTGGTATTGGAATGGCAGTAGATTTTCAAGACTCCAGGTGTCGTTTTACTTACGGTGTTACTAGCATTTCTGCTGGGGGTTGGAGTAGCACTTACGGAGGAGGATTGTGCTGAACAGTTTGCTTTGCGTGCCCTAAACGTAATGGTTTTGTTGGCCACATTTTCATCAAACTTGGCTAGTAGCCGGTCGTATTTCTGAGATAATACGAGCACGCTTTTTATCAGCGGGATAGATGTGCATTCTAAGCAGAATCATAGAGGGTCTGGTTTGTTTAATAACTTGGCCTGACTAGGTTTAACTCGGAGGGATCTCGCATGGAACAGCATGCATAGGTTACGGCACAAAATGCCCCCTTAACAAGCTTGGTACATGATCCACATATGTCTTTAGACTGTGGCACAGTAGGCATCGCGCTTGGTAAGAAAATGTTAATAAGCATTTTAATGACTCACTTACTATGGTGTG